TTGGAGTGAAGAGCAACCAGAAGCCGTTCAAGAACTGCCCATGCATCCCGAAAAATGCACTGTTTGGTGTGGTTTGTACGCTGGTGGAATCATTGGACCGTATTTTTTCAAAGATGCTGTTGGACGCAACGTTACGGTGAATGGCGATCGCTATCGTTCGATGCTAACAAACTTTTTGTTGCCAAAAATGGAAGAACTGAACTTGGTTGACATGTGGTTTCAACAAGATGGCGCTACATGCCACACAGCTCGCGATTTTATGGCCATTTTGAGGGAAAACTTCGGAGAACAATTCATCTCAAGAAATGGACCGGTAAGTTGGCCACCAAGATCATGCGATTTGACGCCTTTAGACTATTTTTTGTGGGGCTACGTCAAGTCTAAAGTCTACAGAAATAAGCCAGCAACTATTCCAGCTTTGGAAGACAACATTTCCGAAGAAATTCGGGCTATTCCGGCCGAAATGCTCGAAAAAGTTGCCCAAAATTGGACTTTCCGAATGGACCACCTAAGACGCAGCCGCGGTCAACATTTAAATGAAATTATCTTCAAAAAGTAAATGTCATGGACCAATCTAACGTTTCAAATAAAGAACCGATGAGATTTTATGCGTTTTTTTTAAAAAAAAAATTATCAAGCTCTTAAAAAATCACCCGTTAGTACGTAAGTGCAGCCGTGAGGCATGACTTACAACCATGCAGACCATAAAAATGGGCTTTCAAAATAACTCGATCTCAGCGCTACCTGGTGGGTCAATTTATTTTTCAAAATTATTTTCTATCGTCTGGTAGCATCCCTTCTAAGTACTGGCCATAGATACCAATTTCTAAATACCGCGACTCTAGCTCTACCTGACGAGTCAGAAAATAAATATGCTGTAATCAAAAATTGACATGCAGTGTTATCCACCAGGGAGGCCCATTAGCCAGTGTCCATTCATATTTGTAAATAGATAGTAATAGGATAAATTTACAAACAATTTTATGTATTATACTGTTGTTAATAATGTACGTAAGTGAAAATTGTAAAATAGGTTTTTATAAAGTTACTTAAGAATGTATGACATAAAATATTCATGAGCGAATTTGTGATAAACCTGCTCATGTACAATTTATTTTACCATAACCGAAATAAATTGCAGGCTTCTGATGCAAATATGGTAGGAGATGAGTAGATTTCAAGAACCATAATACATATTTGCAACAATGTTGTCTGGACTATATAGTTATTTATTTAACTTTTTTTTAATATTAATGATTTTTTTATGGTTCCCCCATTTAATTATTTTGGGGATTTTGGGGACCTATAAAAAATAGTTAGTATTAAAAAATCGTTAAGTAAACAATTAGGTATTATTCTTTGAAGTTTGAAGTTTGAAGTTTGAAGTGAAAGAGTTTGCAAATTGAAAAATATTGACTTTTAAGGATTTTATCTCTATTTCTACGAAGAAGTGTTTTTTCTCATATAAAATACGTGGAAAACTTCATGGTGTGGTAGAGCCCTCAAAATGACACACAATTCTGACTTTTTTACCTTTTTCTTAACATTTGTAAAATTACGCAAATTTCGATATCTCTTGCGATAGTGTAGCTGAAAAAAATTTTCTGACGGTACACCCTTATGTACATACGTAGTAATAAAGTCAGAAGAAGAGCACTTAACGACTTACGCAAATCAGCGTGTTTATAAATTTCTTAAGTAAATTTTGCTAAATTTTTGGCGTAGCCAGAAAAAAACCACATACTATATTATAAACAAAATCGACGCACTAGCTTCTACATACATACAGTATTGTGCAGAAAGAAGGCAACAAATGCATTAACTATGCATGGTAAAAAAAAAATCCGTATTGAGAGTCAATTTTAGACAAGTAGATACATATTGGCCATTATTTACTATAGCATTTTGCTATTTGTCGAGTAGCTTTATAATTCCATCGGTGTAGAAGTTCTTTGGTTTATCGACGAAAAACTTGATCAAATGATTCACAGCGGTTCTTCGGACGGTAAATTTTTTGACATCAAGAGAGTTTTGCGGAGACCGAAACCAAGGGAAATCAAACGGTGCAAAGTCTGGGCTATCGTCAATTTGTTCCTAATGATCAAATATATGTGTGGTCTGGCAGTGTTATGATAGAACACAACTGCTTTTCTGTCGGCCAATTCTGGTCGCTATTTCTTAATTGCTTCGTTTAACGGTGGTTATCGAGTTATGCACAGTAGAGGACCGAATTGATCATTTCGCCATGTTGCTGCAGTTCGTGATGGGCGATTCCCTTTCCAATACCATCAAACAATCGACATAAGCTTACCCTGAGCAGGTAACGGGAGGCGGTCGGACGAGTGTGTTCCTGATCGGAATCGATTTCTTTATGGGAGTATCTATACATCATAAAATCGCGTTAACTCCTCTAGATAAGAGGGTAGAAGTTGAAGACAACTTCAAGGAATGCCTCCAAATATTAATCGCCCGCGAAGGCAAACATTTGGAGGGCATTATTTTTAAAACCTAACCAATAAAACCCACAGACATAACTTTTATAAGATACCAATATTTCAAGTCATCGATAATTATTGTTTTGAGACTTACCTACATGCAATTATAGCCCCACCACATTTTGACAAGTTTTAACAAATTATTATTTTTTTATAAAAACACCAGCAAAAATGCAAGTCTCAAAATTTCTGTAATGTTAAAAAAATAACAATCTTTCGTAAAAATATCGAGCTTTTTTAATTATTGAAGATGATATAGTTTTCTTACATATAAAAATAAGTTGTGTGTATTCGTTATATGGAAGCAAATGGCACAAAGAAATTGTAAAAAATCAACAGTAATTTTGTGTCACTGGGGCTACAAAACTGCATACTCAGAATCTTTCTAGGGGATCTAATTAAAAAAGCCCGAAATTTTTACGAAAGCTTGCTGAATTTTTTTTTTAATGTTGCACAAAGTTTTAACCTTCAACTTCCACGCATTTTGTTATAGGATGAACTACATTTTGATATAAAAAATAACTCAAATTAAATAACAAAAAAAATTGATTGATAACTTGTAAAAATGTGAAGCACTTTATATAAATTTATTCCAAAAGTATTTTCAAAATAATTATGGATGAGAATAAAATTGTATGTTTAAAGGGCAGGACATGTTCAGGACCATTTTGAGACTATATACAGATTTCAGGACTTTCTTTCTGGGGTCCACTTCGCGATTATTTAGGACTCGAGAATAGTTCGATCCTAGTCCCAAAATAATCTGCACAAGTCCTGTCCTTTAGGCCTTAAAAAAATTTCCTCACACATAATCATTTTAAAAAGATTTTTAATATATGAGTTTCAAAATAAAAAACTTTGAATACATACCCCAAATATAGGTATTAAAATAATAGTTATTGATGACGTTAAAAAATGTTCTCATTCATAATTATGTATTTATCCTTTGGAAAATTTTGATGACTTAAAACTCCACCATGAATAATTATTTTTCTGGGTCTCAATATTATTGCGTCATTTTCTATAAAATTCGTGTAGCAAATTTTCTTCATTCAAATTGTTTAGAAAAAATATTTTTTCATACAAATTTTTATTTGTTCTCTGTAATATTTTTACTGTGTCACTTACATACGTATATATTACATAAATATCGTTACCTTAATTCACAAAGGCCCTAACCAACCATTTTTTTATTTTACAGGAGAAGCAAAAAACATAATAAAAAAAGTATCAAAAAAATAGGTAAGGCTCTTTAAAAAGGGGCATGTAGCTCCGTTAATTTTGGTACTAACAAATTAAAATTTTTATTGAGGGTGTATTTTAATACCTATTACCAAAATTAGTGAAAAACGCAGTTTCGAAAAAATTGTTGGTTAGGGCTGCTATGAATTATGTATGTATGTTTGTATGTACATATGTATTTCAGAAACCTGGATTTCTACCTAAACTGGCAGCGGAAGGCAAAGGTCTTGCCACTGTACGAATAAGTTTTATGTAGATTAGGGTGGTCCAAAAACGTATGATGTTCCCCCCCATCAAAGTTAAGTCCGAATTTTAATAATCTCAACCCTAGGATTGTTCTATATCGAAAAAATATGCCTCTGTTTTTTTTCGCCCAAAATGCTCCATGTATTTTATATGGAAAAGAACAATTTTTGGTAGAATATTTGTAACCGAAAACTCTGTTTTTCTTCAAGAGACTTCTAATAATACCCAATTGTTTATTTTAAATTTTTTTTTATACTAATGATTTTTTATGAGTCCTCCATTGCATTTTTGTTTATAAAAATTTTTTTGGGGGACCTATAAAAAATAGTTAATATTAAAAAAATTTTAAATAAACAATTAAGTATGTATGGAGGTCTCCTGAAGAGAAACAAAGTTTTCCGATCGAAAAATATTGACTTGCAAGAATTCTAAACCATTTCCATGAAAAATTGTTTATTCCTTTGAGCGACTCTAAATATTTTTTGATTTGAAAAAAAAAGAACAAAGGCTCATTTTCTTTTAGCGACTTCTAAAAGTTTTTTATTAAAAAAACATGATCAGGGGTATATATTTTTCGGCATAGAACAGTCCTAGGGGTTGAGAGCAATAAAAATTTTTTTTTGGACTATCCTAATGTAGATACATACATATATACGTATGTACTACATAATGAACATAGAAACTACAATTTAACAAACATTATTCATGACTCAATTCGGATAATTACTTACTAACTGGCAAAGCCTAAAAGCAGATTGACGTACATATGTATGTATGTATGTATGTAAGTGTATGTATGTTAGTGAATTAATGACGTGCTCGAATCACTCAACCATAACGCCGGCTTAAATTGGCACATTGTATTTCTTTTATCTATTTATTTTTCTCACTTCAAGCTAAATACAACAGAATTGGGCATTTTTAGAGTGTGTATGTATTCGAAAGATGTAGCAGCAACTAAAACTCGCTTTTGACTACAGCGCGAATTTCGCATATTCCATTTTAGTGTTTATTTACCTTTTTATGATGCACCAATGTTGGCTGTATCGAGAGGAAGCAAATTATTTTTGTTTTTTTTTTTCAACCTAAAATTTTCTTCAAGTCCAAGTTTAGATATTTTCAATGTTCAGAGATCTGAGAGTTAAGAAATATTAAAAAAAAATAACTTTAGCTGTTTGCAGCCACAAACAATCACTACTGTTTTACTAAGTAGGTACGTATTTAAATTGGCAATAAGTCTCAGCACCACACAAACTTGACTATTCACTCTGTTAGTCCGCCGAACACTGCACAAATGTCGCAAATTACCGGTGATCGAGTTTTCAATTAGCTGTCGAAAAGCGTCAAGCTCCAACAAATGCTCCCGACCGTGTGGAACAGAGCAACTGAGTTGTTCAGTTTTTTTATTAAATTGTTTACTTTTTATTATTATTTTATCTTTACTTGTTGACGCTTGCTTTTATCTTTTCGCTTGTACAATTTGTTTGCAAACCGTTCGAATGCGCTCATTTTGGTAGATCTTACAGAGGTGAGCTCTCTACGATAAGCGATGAGTCAACCAGCGAATACTCACCAGGCGAGATCTATTTCATTGAGTGAAAATCTTGCGATGATTGCTCCCGGTATTTTTTTTTTATCGCACTGTGTACTTTCTTTCGCTGTAAACGCTCACGTGCGCCGAAGAGACTGCATGTTTTGAAATGAGACAGCGGCATTTTCAGCATTTCATCTGCATTCTGTGCACATATTTCAATAGAATAGTGATATTTTTTGTATTACTCATTTGAAGGATTTTTAACTAGATTGTTCATAGCATGAATTTCACAAGCAGGCTTGGACTAATCTATACAAATTTCATGAGAATTAATTCCTAATGAAACTATACTGCAGATCTGTCACAAATATACCGGTATACATATGTACATATATTGTTTTTCAACAATTACACTGTGTAACAGTGAATGGGCCGTATGAATAAAAACTAAGCAATTGCTTTTTCGTAAAATTGCATACCTTTTACTTCAATTTTGTTTGAATAAATTGAGTAAAAGGTCTGAAATTTTAAGAAAAAGCAATTGCTTATTTTTGTTCATACGGCCCAATATCAATTTTTGCGTCACCTCGTACAGATCGTAGATTTGGTTTAATTATTCTCGAGACAATGTTTAAAATTTTGCATCCTGTAATTTGGAATTTAGAACGAATAATGTAAAAATCCCGAACGACCATTATAATTAAAGTATACAACGGCTCTAACAATTTTAATTAATTTTTGTATTTATGTAGATAATGTTTTGCATTTTAAGTTTATCCAAATAGGTGCTATCTCCGAAAATATTTGTATAAAGATGCCGCATATTCGTTACAATTTTAATATAACATCCTAACATGGGTATCAAATGGTAAGTGTTTTAAAAACACCCAAATCAGAAGTATTTTTAAATAGGGTTGCCACCTATTTTTCGTCGTTTATTTACTTAATCTTTTTGTTTGGAAAACTAAGTTACAATATTACTTTTGATGGGTAATAAAAGAAAGCTCTTAAAAAGTGATTTAAGATTTAAGTGTAAGGTTGCCACTTATCTTCGAGCCTAAAAAATTTGTACAAAATAATTTAATATTGCCACATTTTTAATACATACGAGAATTTTTTGTAAATATGAACATATGTATGTATGCGTACTACACTGTGAGAAATAAAACGAATGTTTCTTGTTTCCTTCCGGTCTCATATTAAAATTTCGGTGTCGGCCTTTTTTTGGTTGTGGCCGACGCCTAACTAAAACTTAATGGGCTACTTGGTTGTTTTTTTGGTTTGTTATATTTAATTGTTTATTAAAAAAGTAGCGAAAACAAATTTTATTATTAGAAATTCTTATTTTTGCGAGCGTTAACTGAAAAATTAAAATAGAGCTCTGAAATTTTGCCACAACTGTTTTTTTGTGACCAACAAAGAAGTTTTTTTTTTAAGTATGTCACAAAGTCGCCGGGTTTGTTCCTAAGGGCAATCGCCCTGGCCTTGACACCTTCCGCAAGTATCCTAATATATAAAATTTTTGGAAATTTTTTCTGCCGGGCAGCACTTCAAGCTATTTCCACTCACGTTCCCGCGTTTAATCCCTCCCTCCCTCTTTTTATTCCGGAAAATACGTCGCACTTCCCTCTTCCGCTCCTCATATCGATCTCACATTCCTTCAGACCGCTCTCTAAGTGGTGATGTGCCAGTCAAGTTCTCACAACAGTGAGTTCAGCTTTCTCGGCGTTGAGATTCCTGCAGATCTTTTATAAGCCACGTAGCTTGATGGATGTTCTTATGCTGGAGCGCACTAGACCACTTAAAGACATACAATTTTCTGAATTTTGTAACAAAGTATTATTATTGAAATTCATAATCAAATAGGCCTGTGCCTTAAGTTCGCATTTTACAATCATCTATACAAATTTTACAAATATCTACGTTTACCTTTGCTATTATGCGTAAGTTTTTAGGTTTAGATAGCATACCAAACCTTATAAGGGCCAAATTGGGTTTATTCTTTACAATCAATCAGATAGTTATGAATGCACGAAAATGTATGTGGTGTGTACGCATTATCTTTGATCAAACAATAGTAATCGACGTCATAGAAATTCGCATATAAGTATGTACATACACATATGTATATACATACATATGTACATATCTGCATACTGCAAACTAGATCTCTATATGAGTTCAATAAAATTTCCAGCCGAACACAGCCAAGTACTTAGCAGTTCCGTTTTTAAGAACCTATTACAAATTTGATATCTGCTAAAAGCTGGCACTGCAAGAGCCTATATATATTTTCCATTTTCCCTTCATCATTACGCACTTTATTCCAACGTCTACAATACGCCGAGAAACTCTATACGATTTAGAATTACTTCTGGCAATAACTCACAGCCCTTAGGTAGACAGACATCTAGGCCCTTCGGATTATAAACATCCGACTGCCATAGTGTACATCTTATTTGGCACTACAACCGTTTGTTAGTTTGGGCGGAGACCAAAAAACTTCGCCAGTCTGTTTGTTGTCTCTTTTGAGAATTTGCGAAAGTTGTTCAAGGACTGGCTAAGAGAAATGTTAGGAGACAAATTTTTTAACGAAAGGCTTCACAAAAAATGTTAGTTCTTCAAGCTTCAAAAATCGGATTTACTTTAAGGACGGTTTTTTTTAAGGAATGGATCGCGCGAGCCGAACGCTCTTACAATCAATCGTTGTTCAGCCAGCGGATGCTCCTCATCGTTGTTCTTTCGGGCGACGGTACTTAATGATCGGGAAATGTAATTCCACTGCTCGCATATGTCGGTTTTTTGAAGAGTGCTCCCTGAGAGCAGGTGTGAGAGTCAAGTAGAGGATGCATTGGCCGCCTCTTGTGACTGCAACTTTTCGACGTTAAGCACTGAAAGATGTGGAGAAGAGGATGGATGGTGAAGTCGATGTACCACAACCTGACTATGACGAGTTATGAATAGCAATAGCGCGCTTGAAAACAACAAAGCTGCAGGAGCCGACAGCCTGGCAGCTGAGCTATTCAAGTACGGCGGCGAGGAGTTGAGAAGGTGCATGCATCAACTTTTATGCAGAATATGGTCAGATGAACGCATGCCCGACGACTGGAATTTAAGTGTGCTATGCCCAATCCACAAGAAAGGCGAGCCCGCCATTCGCGCCAACTACCGCCGGATCAGCCTTCTAAGCATAGGTTACAAGGTCTTATCGAACGTATTGTGTGAAAGACTGAAGCTCACCGCCACCGAACTGATTGGACCTTATCAGTGTGGATTTCTTCTTCTTCATTTTTGGCGCTGTAACCGCTTAAGCGATTTTGGCCGAGTTCAACAAAGCACGCCAGTCGTTCCTTTTCTGTGCCAACTGGCGCCAATTGGAAATGACAAGTGAAGCCAAGTCTTTCTCCACCTGGTCTTTCCACCTCAGTGGGGGCCTTCCTCTTCCTCTGTTACCACCAGCGGGTTCCGAGTTGAATACTTTCAGAGCTGGATCGTCGGTGTCCATTCGAACGACATGACCAAGCCAGCGGAGCCGCTGTATTTTAATTCGCTACACTATGTCCATGTCGTTGTAAAGCTCATACATCTCATCGGTTCATCGTCTGCGGTACACGCCGTCGCCAATGCGTAAAGGCCCATATATAAATTTGGTATCCCCGCGAAACTAATATGGATGTGTAAAATGACGTTGAGCAATACCACCAGCTCCGTGCGGCTCTTTGTTGTAGCGGCTACAACAACCCCGGCTACTCCCTCAATCGATGTTGTCAAGTTCAACTAACGATAGACCCAAGGAGTGTGTGGCCTCTGCAATGTCCACCCATAAGCACATAGACGTTAGTTGAGTGGGATTTAGTGGGCAGCGAAGAGATGATTCGAGTCGAGGGATCTGCCTCCGCATTCCGGGCCCTCATTGGGCCCATCTTCATCCAGTCTGCACAGGTATGAGTTCAACCTGCTGCGGTAGCCAGAGCGAAGTTGGGCTATTGTGGTCAGAGTATCCCCAGGCAAACAAAGTTCTGTCCCGTCATTCACAGGTATATGTAATTTGAGACCGACTGCCAGTGAAAGCCGTTTAAGGTCTGTCGGTATGCTGTTGGGTCCAGTGGTTGCTTAATGAACCTCTGGACTTCGTTCGTCAGTTCGTAAAAATGTCGCCCCAGAAGCCATCGAGTTGCGGTCCAGAGTATCGTGTTCTTGCAAGTCTGTAGATTCGTCGACTGCGTCCTGCTAGGACATGGCGGCCACACAGGAGCTGACTAATTTCGAACCGGCCAGCCAATTGCCTTGTATGTTGTCAACAACGTTTCTTTATCTTTGCCCCAGGTGCTGTCAGGTACAGTCTGACCTCTTTTGTTCAGGTGGTAAATAAGGTTTCCGAGGATTTCGTAGGGGACGCCATTATGCTCCTTACAGTGAGGAAGCGAGAAAGCTCGGAGAGGTATCCGTTCACTTTCGAGCACAAGTCATCAATTCCATTTCCGGACGCCATTGTTGAGCAGTCGTCAGCATAAGAATCAATAAAACTGTTGGTTGGGAAGTTTTGATATGTAGTAATTAAACAGCAGCGGGGAAAGGACGCCACCCTGTGGAGCCCCCTGTTTAGTTTTTCTCAATTTGCTGGTTTTATCTCTAAAAATTACTGACGAATGTCATAAATATAATTCTGACAGCAGTCAACCAGACTGACTTGTTTCGGACTTTTTTTGGTGCCACAAATCCTGAGTTGAACAAAAATAACGAATGTCACGTAGAAATAAAAGTTTATTACTAATCATTACAAAGAATATTTGTTTTTAAGATTCAGAAAGCATCATACTTCAGACTCTAATATGACTTTTAACTTTCACTCATATTAGCGTGCCCTTCTAAGAAGGAAAATGTGTTTGTTCTCTGACTTTTTTTCAGCTCATAATGAGGTTTACAACTCAGAATTTTGAGACTTTTCTGACTCTAAAAAAAAAAAAATAACAAAAAATCTAGCGAATTGTTCCGGATCCGACCAGGCATGGTCGCCGAAAGAGATTTCGACTCTGTCAGCACGCTTCGTCGGACTGGACAATAACCTCATGGTTGATCAAAGCTTGTCCACACCAGAGGCGAAGTTACAGGTCTTCAGATGCTTTTGACACGTCTTCGGCTTGTGAACATTCACTTGTTTTCGAATCTTCGCGTTGATATCCCGGATTTCGTTGATTGGCCTGACGAAGGTTGTCACGCTCTTCGGCTCATCATTTGAAATCACCTCACTGCAACACCTCTAAGTTCACCTCAACTCACCTCACCCCACTCACCTAATTTCATCTCAACTCAATTCACCTCACCTCACTTCAGCTCAGCTCAACTCAACTCACCCCAACATATTTTATTTCACATCAACTCACCTCAGCTCAACTCACCTTATCTTGTCACCTCACATTTGGTTTTATAAACTGACAAATATCCTTACCATTTCACCTAACCTTTAACCCAGCGCGCATCACTACACATAAATATTTCAGTGACTACAAATACATACATACATATGTACATAGATACATATTCAACAGCAAGCGAACAGAGTTAATGAACGTTAATGTTATCAGCATCCATTGAAGGTGCGGTGGTGACCATATAATCACATAATTTGCCTCAATTACTAATAGCAGTACCTGTGTATTCATTATAGCGTTTAAGCGGCACCAAAGTTTGTCGGTCTTCCTACTCTTCCTGTGTGTTGTGCAATAATTTCATCTAATGCTGTAAGGCATTTTATCATTATTTTAATGACAATCCCCTTGCTGCATTAGCACTCAATTTCGGGCACTATCAGTGGTAGGCACATATATTAGCATGTATATATATATGTACTAGGGATGTTAATCCCGGGATCCCCGACTTTTAAAGGTCATTAAAATCCCGATATTCATGGCAAGTCGTTCCGGGATTTTCGGGATTTGTAATTTGCACTGATGGCAATAATAAACTCCTTTTCTTAACCAGTATTGGCTATATTTCTTTTTTTATTTAATAACTACTATTTTTTATAAACGTCTAGCTCTTTATACATACATATAACACTGCGCGATAGTAAATTTTACCATGGGCCAAATATAGTAAAACTGTGTTTTTAGTTTATCGCTCTGACGTCAGTAATTCAAAAATTATTTTAAAAATTCAGAGAAATGTGCTTATAGAAGAAGTATGGGTATAAAATTAATGAGGACAGCCTGTAGAATTTAAACAGATTCAAGTTTCTGGTGCAGAAGGGCTGGTAAATACTGAAAATGTCATTTTAAAATTTTGTCCTTGAAATTGCGCAATATTTGTTTTTGAAAAAGCTATATGTTAAGAGCTTATATAAACTCGATAACACCCCCGACTTTCGTTCTTCTAACTTTGTCAGATTAAAAATGACCTATTGATTCGTCCTCGTGAATCCAAAAAGTTTAAGTTGTTTAAAGTCTAAAGAAATTTCCTACTGCATTCGTTACCCATATTTTCATTCTACATTGCATTGAGTTTTTTAAATAATTTTTGGAATTAATCATATCTTTGACATTACAAAGTCCTTCAAAATAAATCCTGCAGTCAGTGAGAAAAAATAAAAACACCACTTTAAATAAAAAAGTAGGTTTCAAACCCATTTATTTATTATTTATTTCATGTTACAAACAACATAGAAGCAATTTTTTCGATTCAAGTTGTTGAAAAGTAATGAATATCTAAATCACGAGACTAGTCCCGGTATTCCGGGAAGGTGACAACGCCATCCCGAAAATCCCTGGATCGGAAAAAGCCGAAAAGTTAACATCCCTAGTATGTACATAGGCGCATCAATACATTTAACTTGACATGTAGTAGATACCGCATAGATGTTAGTATGCATTTGAGCACAACGGACGGTGCTCATCAGGCTAAAATAATAATTCAATTTGCGAAATTGGTTGATAACATATTTAACGCTACCGCATAATGGTGTTCCACTGCGGTAAAAGACCTTACAAACGGGCTCTGTTAGTACCGGAGCTAACGTATGTATAAATGCATGTATTTAAATTGCATTGCAGTGGCATACCTATCTACCCCAATGGGTTAAATCGCGTCTGCTATATTAAAGGCATAATTTTCATGTAGGTAGCTTTTCTCAAAGTTCTTTATACGTTACGCAATTTTACTGTGCAACAATATTATTTATCTAAACTTACTACTAATGTCAGCCTATTTCTTATCAGCAACACGAAGTGCATATGTACAGTATTGGCCATATCTATAGCTCATGATAAAAACATAATAAGGTAAAACCATTGAGAGGCAGATTGAAGTGAATGTGATTTAAAAATTAAAAACTCAAACTCACACACACATTCTCATATTCAATCTCAAACAAATTTAATTAATTTAAATTTCAAACTTTTTTTTAGAAGTGTTAGAATTTTTTTCTGTACACAGTTTTACAGCCCAATCAATTTTAATCTAACAATGTGCAAGTCTCAAGCCGCTAAAAATAGCCATTGATTTTTTCGATTTTTTTTTTTGTCGTATTTGCTTCCATACAACGAATAAACACAATTTATTTTTATGTGGAAGAAACCCGCGACTCCTTCGGCGAAAAAAAAAACTCTAAAAAATCAACGATGACTTCTAGCCACTTGAAACTTGCACTAAAATTGAATAGGCTACAAAACTGTGTAACACTTCTGAGAAAAAAGCTTGAAATTTTCTTGAAAGTCTGTTGTTTTTTTTGTTGTAGTTTTCTACAAAGTTTTAAACTTGGGTTTATATGGGTTTTGTTAGAGAATGAACTGTATTTTAATTGAAAATTCCAAAAAATAAAATCAATAAATATGAGTGGCAAACAATATCACTTTGAAATGAGGGTGCTATTGTATTGGCCAATACTGTATGTATGAATTTTCGTAAACACATTTATGAAGCTATCTATGTTCAACGTGAACGAGCACTCATGATGAGTTGTTTTTTTTTTCTGGGCATAAGTCCCCTACATCTACTTTTGCCATTCGCAAGGCACTTGAAGCTGGGAGTGATGTGACCAGAGGCAATGACCTTATCAGAACTAGCACCAAACGTTGGATTGTGAGCAGTTAAGAAGACACAATACACCAATTGCCGCATATTTAACGTTGTCATCACTATAAAAAGCCCAAACGGTTTTCCTACTCTTCACCCTCATACGCGCTACGAGCAGTTGTAAATAATTTATTAAAGGTCATTTGAAACCTCGAAATAAATCCAGTAGATATAGGAAAATGTCTTCTTTAAACTAAAATGCACTAATATATGAACTATGTCATAGGGAACTACTAACGTATATTTATTTTTAGATTTCATTTCATTCAGACACGCTACTAGCGATAATTAAAACATTATTTACATAACATTGTAAGAAAATAGGATTATATTGAATAGCCGATAAATGTGAATGGCACGTACAAATGTACGTTTGATTTCTATGACATTCGTGTACAAATAATATGTATGTAATCCAAAATATAAATATTTTGCTTTATAATATGTGCTTAGTGTAATATACATAAGTTGGCGATGCAGCTGAAACTACAATATTTCTTCGAGCCAATATTTTATATTTTCTTAATAATTTTCCATAATTAATTTTATGAGCTGTACATATACTTTCATACTGTATTATAATCCTTACATATTTCTAAACGAAATGCTGTGTCCAATACCGTTATTATGTTTTATGAATTGCTCAAAAAATCCTTTCTATACAAACCACTAGTAGGTATATAACCACAATTAAACATACATACGTGGGTATGTTTTCCGGCAACTTCTCACTTCTCACAAAGTTTATAGTAACTTGCAAAAACATAAAATAAATGAATGTATCTTGAAATGTTCAATAAAACAGTTCAGTCAAACTCTATTCCTTGAAGTTAATTAAAGCATTGAACATTTTTTACTCTTCATCGTCCGCCAATTCCAGAAACTGTGTGCACACATCACGACTGCACTCTCCTTTGTTGTTAAACAAAAATTTGTAATAATGTCCATCTGCGCATATTGCTGTAGGTATTAAGAAAATAAATCACTTACATACTTGATATTTATGTGAATTCTTACATACCTATTACCGAGTTCGGATCTGATCCAAAGGCGCAAATACATGCCGGCCCTTGTGGTATGGAAAATTTAACAAAACTCCATTGGCTGGAAAAATATTTTGGTATCATTGGAAATGGCGCTTCCTTCTGCTTATTATCGTCTAAATTGAAAACATGTATAGTGCCATGATCCGAAGATACAACCAACATTGTCGACTGATGGTTGAAGTTGATGCAATAAATATTTGCCTGTAGGCAAAAATCAAAAAACAATCATGTGTGTATTTACATTACTATTGATATAAATTGTGGACCTTACCTGATTGCTACCACGACGCAATTCGCAAAGCTTTTTGCCATTCTCCGTATCAAATATACGTATTAATGTACCTTTTTCGCTGGCGGTAGCAAGGCGGGTTCCTTGCAAATTTAATGCAATGCAACTTATTGATGCCTCATGAGCGACAACTTCTAGCGGAGCGCGCTCTGTGTTTGCTAAATCGACAATCTGGACGTGACCGGTGCGTCGTCCTGGAAAAGCTAGGAGACTTTTATTGCTATGTGGACAAAGCACACACAATCCGTGTGGATTTGCGCTTGTCTCAAAGACATGTAGCTGCTGTGGTTGTTGTGTGAATGTAAATACTTTAATCACACCCTCTAGGACAACGACAATACGATCGCGTCGTAATCGCACAGCTTTTACGGGTTGATTGAAGTCTATTGAAATCGCTGGAGATTTTTTTAAATCATCCCACACGATAACTTTGTTTGGTGGATACAAGGGACGTATACCGCCACCCACAAGAGCTAAGTAGTTACAACGAAAAAGCATCTCTACATGGCATAAACCACCTTCGGGAAAATATTGACGTTCTTTTTCCTTTAACGGATCACAATTGTAAACACGAAATCCAGTATCTGTGGCGCAAGCGAAACAACCTGTAAAATATACAAATCTTGAGGAAAATTCGAGTGAAATTACGCATTTATTTATATTTACCTTGATCTTGGTTAAATCCAACATACAGTAACCCATTTCCGTATGGATTTATCTCCACCAAATTCATCGTGATTGACGATTCACCTTTTCAATATTTGGTGCTACGAGTTTCGTCGACACCGAAATAACTTTCGCACTCCTTGTGTCTAGTAATGGCTTAATTTCAGTTTTCTTTATTTTAGCAGATAAGTGTCTACAAATTAATTCCACTAGGGGATCACCAAATACTTTACCAAAGATAATGAAATATTTTTCGAAAGGAAAATACACAAAACAAAAACAAGAATGAATGTCAGAACAGGGATAGATCACAAAACTTCCACTGGAATGTACTACCGGACGTCACTGGAATGCACTACCGGAAGTATAGTATTTTGTTTTCTTTTTTCCTTCGTCGGAAATAAATACAGTGTTGCCATTTCCCCCCATTAACCTATCAGCTGAGCAAATAACGCCGTTTTACGCACATTTATCGATAAAGTCGTCCCACGCCCATTTTTTCAAAAATTTTTCATTTATTTCATTTATTGAAGATTTCGTATATCTGAAAATTACCGTTATAAGGGATGTGGGCGTGGTTATTGCCGATTTTAAAACTTTTCAGCCGTTTGATATTTCATATTAAGTCCAACAGTTGCGCCAATTTTGGGAGAAACTGGTGGAGGGGTTTCCAAGATATACACATATATTCATAAGTAGGCATGGCTACGCCTATTTTCCAGAAATTTATAATCTTATTTTTCGTCTAAAAATCAATGTAAATATCAATTTTGGGTGAACAAGATTCAGCAGTTACTAAAATATCGCAGTTTTCTTATTTCTGAAAACAACCGGTATATGGGAGGTAGGTGTGGTTATAATCCGGTATTACCCATTTTCAATACCATCCGTCCTACGCTCAAAAGAAGAATACGTACCAAGTCTCAATTTTTACTCGAGTTATCGTGTGCACAGACGGACAGACGGATAAACATACTACGTTCATACGTAAGCTATTTGCAAATAAAAATAATTTGCAAATATCTAACTCACTGTTTATTCGATGGTGAAAAATTATTTTTTAATGTTGCTTGATTATAAAACGGCAATAATATGACCATCGAAAAAGAAAATAAACCAAAGAATGGCGGCGTCTTCAGCTTATTTGCACATAGTACCACTAGTCAATACTTATTTGCGCGATTTAGTTATTTGCAAATAAAAAATTAACACAGCGTTTATACGGCAAAGTTTACCATTTTGCAAATTTTGATTTGCAAATAATACGTGCGTATAAACATAGTAACATCAACCGCTTAAGCTGAAATTAGTCGAGAACGCAGAACGTATACTTAAACGCAGTCTGTATACGCAGAATTTTGTCGATTACTGGAGCTTTCAGTGTTGCTTACTACACTGTTGCCACTCATCAATGCCTTTTCATAAACTTACCCTTTCAACTACAATTTTTTGTGCTATAATAGATTTCAGCTAAATATAAACTACTTAGTTTTCAACAAAAACCTTATTCAATAGTAAATTTCAAATATTTTAAACCTATTTTGAATAGGAACTTATAGCTTTTTTACCATCTGTAAAACTGACGAAGTGGCAACCATCTAAAGAAGGAGAAATCAGCTAACACGGAAAAATCTAAATTCCGCAGATTTCTGCGCTACGGGCTACAACTACAGAAAAATTCTGCGGTGTTGAGTTTTCATTTACATGGCGCTTTGGTAAGACAGATCGTGTCAGCTGACTCGGGTTTACGTACCGGTAGGTTTACGTTCTTGACTAATTTCAGCTTTAGTCGATTTTTTTTTTTTTAAAGCTTTTCTTTGATGGCAGGGAGATTATTCTCGAGTTCCCTTACAAGGCCAGGGTGTTCGTATGTTGAGGATTAAAGTCTTAAATACCAGCACACTGATAAATCCAGATTCCGTAGAAACAACTTTAGTCGATTTAGTTTTGCCTGTTACAAACAGCCGTTATGTGAACAAAGTTATAATACCCTTATGCACAAGTGCGCTCGGGTATGAAAAACAAAACACCTGAATACAAAGAACGTACTTAAATCTATTAGAAGGGACAACAAGTTTCGTGCAATTTTTAAGTAGCGTTCACACAGAATGCAGAGTGGTGCCGACAGAAGTAAGGAAGAGTGGAGCGGAGCTACAGAGGTTCACACTGTAGCAAGCAGAGCGGAGCGTTTTGCCTGGAATCGGCTGTAAAGATATCACAAAACTGACCGGCTGTCTTTAGATGCCCGAAAATCTCGCTCGCGTGACGACGCATGAGAGATCCCGCACGTGTAGACCGCATTAAGTACGAATCATACTTATTCTCGAATGCCGAGCAGTTAGCGAGCTCTCACATGCTTGTTGTTTGACTGGTATTTTCTCATTTCGCAGAATTGTTCAAAGTAGCAACCTCGTTTATTTTGGTGGCAAATACAAATTTAGCCTGCAAAGCTTGAATCTCCTTTTTCCGCGACATTTTTGGAATGAAATTATACCTAGTCAAAAAAACCCTCGAAAACTCAGAACAGCTCCGCTCGGCTGGCTCTACTTACTTTGCGAACGCACCCTAAGACTTACCGTTAATTTTTGAAAAGATTTTGATGATATTTTGGCGGTTTATTTGTTTGTTTAAATCCGTTAAAAAACTATGGAATTTTGACAGCCATTTCGTTAATTGGCTAAATTTTTGCAATTTTTTTTTTTAAATTTGCGTTGATTAATACAGATTTTGATATAGAATTTTAACATTTAACAAATGAGAATAATGGAATTCTTACATTTGGCGTGCTAAAGGCAGGAACTGTAAAATGTAGAAAAAATAATTATAAATGTTTGGCTTAGGAGCCAACGTTAAAAATGGACGAACAATGAAGAACAAACGTCGAACTATCGATTGCAATAATCATTAACCCAAAATAGTCTGTTGTGGGTGCTAACTTCAGGAATTACGTAAAGCGAAAATTGAAAAATTAATTATACATTTTTGGCAAACGAACCAAACTTTAGAAACGGACGAACATTAAAGAACAATCGACGAACTATCGATTGCAATACAAAAATCTTAACATTTTCACAAATGGGGTGCTAACGTCGGTTGGGTACAAGAATGATAGAATACAAGATTGCGCCGTCCTGGGCGTTGACATTTGTGTACCACAAGTAAACAACGAATAGAGCGAAAAGAAGAACGAGTTGAAACTGCCAAAGCAGTTCACTTTACAGCGAAAAACGTGTTTTAATTTTGCTAAATGCGAAAATATTGCATTTTTCACCTAATCTATTAGAGAACAGTGAACATTTTAGTGCACTCCATTGCTTTGCAATTGAGGCTGCTTCAGCAAACGTTTTAGTACACTCCATTGCTTTGCAATTAAGGCTGCTGCAGAAAACTGCAGCAGCATCTCTGCGGGATTGATTAGTTAACTTGCTAATGGAGGTTGCGTGGAGCAGAAACAAAATCATTGTGAGGAATTGCTGTTAATATAATAATAGAGAAATATTTCGGGAACGGCTTTGCCGTGCCCTATGTACACAAAATGCAGCGATTCGTCCCAGCGCTACACTTGCATCTACGCTTCTTGCATCTTGACGGCTGTCGCAATTTAACACACATCACTTCATTGTATTAGTTTTTACGCAGTCTTCAACTCAAAAATCACTCACAAATTGCAAATTAACACAATTTAAACTGATTTTTCACTTATAATTCATATTTCTCTTTCGCTGATTTGTAAACAAAGGTTTATTTACAAGTTACCACAATTGTCAAAATCGGCAAAACCAAAGTAGCGGTACCACTGACGGCGCCACCTTTGTTCGCTGCACCGTGGGTTGGGTAATATTCTGCTTTTGTTTAATGGCTACACTGGCGTTTGACTGATCAAATTGGTAGCATTGCTTAAAGTTGAATTGCAACTCTGCGTTTTTTCTTCTTGGCATTATGTGCTGTTGGCTTTTTCGATTAAAATAATTTGGGTAATTACATGTTTTTTTTGCAAATAAAATGCACTTCGTATAGCTAAAAGTTTTGTTTTAATAGCGCTATACAACTTTAAAGCAAATTCGGTTTGCCTTGATCGGTTTCGTTACGTTTTATTTGCGGCCTTCCTTGCATGGACAACCTGTGAAACTTGTTTTGTTGTTGTGTCTAAAATTCAAGAAGAAAAGTTACCATGTTCTTGGATGAGGAGTGGTTGATTTTGTAGTGAAGAAAAAAACGGGCATACACGTCAAAGAAAACGGTGTAAAGAGCTTAGAAAACTTGTGATTCGATTTTGTGGTCATCGCAGGCGAAGTCTGCAACCAAATTGTTACTCAGTAAACAGAAAGAATAGGAGCAAGTTCATCCGTTTAAGGAGGGGGCGGTGGTTTAGTAGCTGTATGTGATCCTAGCGCTGGCTTGAAGCTGCAATTACTGCTCAACACTAGTTCTGACGCCACCTAGAAATAGGATACAGACTCAAGTTCCAAAAGCGGCTGCACTGACTGCATGTTCGCGAAGTACATAGATGATTAAAAATCGGCGCGGGTGGAAAGAAGTGAAAGGTGTTTAAGTGGTTGAACGAATGCTCCTTTTAATTTAACTCATACTGCCGGGAAATGTTACGCTTTCTTAGTCGTAGGAAGGTGCGTAGCAACTATGTGGAGAGCAGAGGCGGCGTGCCTGGCGGTGGAGGTGCTCCGAATGCGACTAATAGTGGTGGTACGCAAATTAAGCCGCAGCGCATGCCAGTAAATAAAAATAAAATCGAATGTCGCGTGGTGCTGCTGGACAATACGGATCTCTCCATAGAATTATCGGTGAGCATGAATATGTATGTATGTATGTGTTGAAACTCCAAAGAATTATGCCTATTCCGAAATTCGACGGATGCCATTCGAACGAATCTAATCCGATTCACACTGTCATAACAGGTAACTGCGAAGGGTTACATTCGTTCGGATGGCATCCGTCAGATACCGGACTAGGCATGCATAGCAAAATGTTATACAAGACTTCAATGTAGATTTAGAACGGAAAAGAGAAAGTATGCGAATTCGACTTCGTATTAATGTGGATGATGTGGTAGAAGCATTAATCAAATTATGCGATTAGTAGCACTAGGCCGTTGTATATTTGTTACTTTTTTCTCATTCTATCATTACAAGTTGATCAACTTGGCAAAAAAATCGTGTTCTAAGTAATTACTAAATGCTTGATGAACAAATTTAATTTATCGATTGTAGCATTGTATGTAAATATATATGCGTGTATTAAAACCACGTCGAAATTAGATTGAATAATGAAT